GGGGGGGGGCAAGCCGGTGCATGGGACGTGGCCGCGGCAGGTCGGGAAAAAGGGTTCTGCCCTGGCCAGCGACAGTTATACGTGCGAGAGGGAGAGGGGGAGGGAGAGGGGGGGGGGCAGAATAAAAACAAAACAAAAACGAAGAAAGAGGCGAGGGCCGGCCTGCAAAGGGCCTGTGTTTTGAGAGTAAAAACAAACCGCGCACGAACGCAAACGTGTTCTGTTTCACGCACGGATTGGACACTCGTCCTACAGAGGCAGGGCTGCGACGTGCCTGCAAGAGGTGCGCCATGCTAGGACAAACTATCGTGGGTCGATGCGGAGTTACTGTGTTTCAAACAATATTAAATTACAAAACCAAAGACAGAAACTTACGACAACGGCCGTGTAACAAGGCCGCTGGCTTTGTGTGTCTAATATCGGTTTTAACTTTTGAGGGAGGGTGCATACCGCCGCCGACAAGAGGCCATCCCCGGTACGACCAGCGCCAACACAACCGCACCACGCCGCGGAGCTGGCCTCACTCACCCGCCGACCCCGCCACCGTGAAAATGGTTTTGGGCGCCCTTGCAGCTCACCGCAGCCAGGAGGGAGAACACGCGGAAAGCAACGCCCTCGAGCGGCAGCGCGCGCGCGCACCCCTGAGGGCAAAACACGCTGCAAGCAACTTGGGCAAGGTGGGCGCGGGCTTGCGGTTCCCGTTCGACCTCTACTTCGCCCCCGCCACGCTCTCACCTCGCCGCTTAATATCAAACTCTGAGCCGCTGATGCACGCCCCGCCGGCGCCGCCCCACTCCAGATCCTGATCCTGTTCCCTGTCTGCACCTGCCTCTCGGCCTGATCCCGCAGCGGCGGCGGCGGCACAGCCCGCGGGCCCCTCTCTCTCGGGGGGCTCAAGGGGGCGATAGGAAGGGCGGTCCCATTCGCCCCCCCCCCCTTTTTTCTCGCGAGCCCGGCCCGTCAGCCCCACGGGGCCGCACAATAGCGCGCCGGGATTACCTGAGCTATCCTTTTATTCTGGGGTTTAACGTCCCGTCTGCTGCGACACGCCTCGCCCCGAGCCCAGCCCCACCTCGGTCGGGGGCCCCACCGCTGCTGCAGCCCGCCGATAAGCTTCTAGACGGACGTGCCAAACGCACCAAGAGGGAATACGATGTTGCCCCCCCCCCCATTTCTTTTTGGGGCTACAAAAATTACATATATCTGTAGTATGATTTTGTTTGCTTTTTCGTTCGTATTTTTTTGTTAAAGGGTGATCCAAGCCTCAAATAGCTCAGCACGTACGCTCACACGCACACACACACGCACGCGCGCGCGCGCAGACACAAAACCCAATCCCTTCCTCGTTCAGCGGTACGGCGGTTCGTCTCCGCTAGCGACCTGCCGTTAAGGATCGTTAAGGACCTTATAATATTATTTGCTAATACTCCTAGCAGAGTACTCCGAGCCGCGGCGCTGCACATGATCGCTCTCTATCTCTCTCTCGGGCGCTGCACATGAGCGCCGCCGCGCCGCATTCCTCCTCACCCCATTTCCGCAGTGCAACAAGGCCAAGGTGTGCGGGCTCGGCCGGGCCCTTCCAAAACTATATAAACGTAGTGCCCCCCTCTTTCGGTGCCAGTACCGTCGGACCACCTTTGCAATCCGCACCTTCGTTAGGGCCAGTCTCACCTGTACCATCGTTACCTCCGTACCTCTGTTACGTAGTGATATTATCTGTGATCGTCATCCTTACTGTTGGATTACTGTTGGATTACTCTGGATTATCTAAAGAATACAAGTAAGTTATCACCAAAGTCAATACTCCCTGTTCTCCTCATTTGTCACACACCCCTGCTGAACCAAGAACCCAGGCTTCGTAGGTTGTACTCGCCTACAAGACCAACCTCAACATCCCTGGTCTGGTCTATAACGTGGTGCATCGGGCCGTTGGTTCATTAAGTGTGGACAGATATGGAAATCAGGGCTTGTTCGCCCTTTCCTTAAAGGCTAATGGCAGATGAAGCCTTTGTATTAGACGATTTTCTCAAGGCATTTCTCGTTAAGTGTATCGTTGGTCCCCACGAACACCCGTACCCATACTTAGTTTTTTCAAGTAGAGCTTTAATATCGCGTCAACTGGCCGACGCATTCGCTCGCCAAACCTTAAATACGTGCTCAGATCTTATCGACGCTTATCATAATCGACCCCGCCGTCCCCTTCAAGTCACCGCATTCGGCAAATTCGCTGAACTTGAACCACCCCCCTCTCTTCGCGGATCAGTGCAGTGGCTCTTGGTCTGCCAGGCGCCTGACCCTTCCGATAATTTATTCCGTATCCCTATCGAACATATACCCGGTTTTTGCACCGCTCTAACCGAACGGGAATTTTTAGAAAAAGATATCACCGCAGCTTTTGCGAGAGTATTAGTCCACCTTTTTCGCTGCCACATAAAGTACCCCAACCCTGTAAACCCCATCCTCCCTGAGTTTAACACAATGGCTGCCGCGCCAACAATAACTTTGCACCCTCAGCTCCCGACATTTTCCGGGGAAGACAACGAAGATTGTGACTTGTTTCTCACAAGACTCAATCGCATTTTGTCTGCCTACCCCGACCTCCCAGCAGCCCAAAAACTTTTTTGGCTTGATTCGCAATGCCGTAAGGGCCCGCTGGCTCTTATTCAGCGCGAAATCAAGCGCCTGGAAGCTGCAAACCCTCCAGTTAATGACGAGGAAAAATATCAAGCGGTCCAAGATTCCCTTCGAGCCAATTACAACTCTGTAGAAGACAAGCATAAATTTCGAGATGCACTTCAGCACCGCATTAAGCGGGAGAATGAGTCGTACCCTAATTATTTCCAGGAAGTCACAGAGCTTTGCTATAAGGCCGGTATTACAAATGAGCGGGAGCACCTCCGCTACCTGCATCGTGGCCTGCCGCGTCAGATAGCAAACTGTGTACGACCAAAAGAGTACGACTCAACTCACACCTTGCTTCAGTTAGTGTTAGAAGTGGAGAGTCTGCAACGCGAAACTGCACGCACGCATTCTCAGCCCGATAATGACAGTAAAAGTATGCCTTCTCAACTACAGAGTTATGGTTTTTCCCAACCCCCTCCCACCCCTGCAGTAGCACTGCCCCAGCAAACCTCTCCTTCTCCCGCAGAAGACACAATTAATAAATTAATTACAAAACTGGAAGCTCTAGTTTTGAGTGCACAGCCATCAATCAATGCGGTCGAGACAGAAAACACTGCGAGCTCTCCCTCTGCCCAGGAGCGCCAGCACCGCCGCGATCAGCCGCGACGGTCCGACAATAATAACAATACTTACAGCCAAAACAGGGGTTACTCTCCCGGTTACCGCTCTTACAGCAGGGACAATTCCAGAGACGGTTATCGCGGCCCTCAGCGCGACAATGACCGCTACCGCTCGTCGTCGTCATCCCGCTTCCGGCAAGACGGGGGACAGCAGAATAACTACAGGGATCCTAGCACCAGCCCTTATCGAGGGAACGGGTACAATAGAAACGACGACCGTCGCCCGCGGAACTACCAGAATAACTACAATAATAATTACAACAATCCCCGTAGAAATTTTAACAGGGATCAAAATCAGTATCAGCCTCGTGACCAGCAAAGTCGCACTTACTATAGATCAAATGACAACAGGCCCCAGCAGAATCAACGGCGCGTCGGATTTGCCGAATCATCGGGTAGAGGTAGAACTAATAAAACAAACCCCAGCCTGCGCACGCCAGGCCGTTATCACGAGTTCGGAGAGCCAAAAATCACTGACAACCCTAACTTCAAAGGTAGGTCGCGCTCCCCACGATGCAACCTCTGTGAAGGACCACACGTGGACAGCGAATGTCCTGTTGAAAATTCAATGCAACAAAAAAACTAAAAGCGCAGGCGTCGAACTTATGCGGCCTCGCCTGCGTTTCTGCCTCGGAAACCCACCCTCCCGCCACTAAATATGAATATAATAAAATTCGGGTTATTTCAGTCCGCCTGGACGCTAACACGTTATTTCGCAGCGCTGCTATCATGGCATTTGCAGATGAGCACTACACGAAACGCCTCAGAGAAGTGGTACTTTCTCACATTTTAGATAATTGGCATTATTTTCGTCACATGGCACTCATGTCATGCGGCATTTTTTCGCGTGAAAGGTATGCTCGGCACATGTCTGGTCAGACTGCATTTGCAGGTGTTGCAGAGGTCCGGGCGCTATCCCAGCTATTTAATTGGCGCATTGAATTGCACGCCCCTGAAGGCGTAACAGTGTATGCGGAGCCAGACCCCTGCTTCACTCTGTATCTTAAAACATGCATTTACAATAAGAGATGGTACTTCTGTCCATTTCACCCGCGCATGCTCTCCTCCTCCTACGCCGCCGCAGTCAAACATTCACCGGTGTCAAAAACCGCCACGGCCCCAGTCCCCAGCGAAAGGGCGCCGCAGCGGGCAGACGCACCGAGACCCGGCCGGCGCGAGTCGCCCCGCGCCGTCCCGCCGCCGCGAGCAGTCCCAGCCCGGCGCGTTCCTGCCAGCGCTGCATCCCTGCCCCCCTCTTCCCCCTCCTCCCGCCCGCCCAAGGGCGCCGGCAGGGAGGCTCTCTCGGGGGCCCCTCGGCGCAAGCAGCGCCCGGTACCCACCAAATATTCCCCCCCGCCCTCCCCATGCAGCTCGGTGAATAGTGATTTCACACACGCCAATAAATTTGAAGTGTTAAGTCAAAATGATGAGATTCAAAGGAGTGGAGAAGAGGACACCCAGATATTGGACTCCGATGAGCTGGATATTTCAGCGGCACTGCATGGCCTAGGCCCCGCAGTTCTCTCGGTGCTTCCTTCCCCACCCCCGCGGACTCATTTTAGTGTTCCCGTCACTTTATTTGGGAAAGTTTACACCGGTCTTGTCGACAGTGGGGCCTCATATAGTCTTTTGCAGGCAGCAATTGTTCCACGTCGTGAACTTATTCCCCTCGCCCAACCCTCTCCTCGCCTTCGCACAGCGTCCGGCGGGTTCCTTTGTATTATTGGTGCAACAAAAACCAAAATTAAAATTGGACATCTTGAGAAAGAGTTTTCCTTTTATGTGGTCGAAGATCTATCCCAATCAGTGATTCTGGGATTAAATTTCTTATTTGAATCCAAGTCTATTCTCAATTTTGCAACGGATTCATATGAACTAACCTTAAATAATGATAATCATACTCTCTCACACGGCCGTCAGCCGCCGCGTGTTAATCCACCTGCATCCACAGGAAAAATATTTTCTGCACTGGATATCCCAGAAATCTATAGTTCGAGACGCCGTGTGACGCTGCGCGCACCCGCCCGCCTCCCCACCCAATCCTTCGCTCGCCTGCGCATTCATGTACACCCCGTGCCCATTCCGGGTCCCGCGGTGCTCACATTGCGCGACGAAATTCTTGAAGCTGTCGGGGCCCCTAACAACTTAGAATTTCTTATCACACCACAGGACTCAACTGTCACTATTTATAACGATGGCCCAGAGGATCTCACGTGGGAAACAGGCAAAATATTAGGTCATATTGCCCCCGACACAACACGTCTGGCAGATGCCCTTCTCGCCCTGCCTGACGAGGCCCCTCCCTCTCTTCCCACTTCATTCCCCTCCTCTCCCCGCCGGTCTCGCAGAGCAGGCGCAGCGATGAGGCGAACAAGTGCCGCTGGAACGGCACCTCCTCCCTGGCCGCCGTGGGCAGGCCCCGGCGTGCCCCCCTCTTCCCCCACCCCCTCCTCCTTCCCTTCCTCACACGCACAGCAGACCGTCCTAGAGGACGGCCTAGCGGCCGTCTCAGACACAGTAGAGCTGCGTCTGCCCCCTACCCCGGCCCCTCGGCCCGCCTTTCAATTTCACATATCAGAACACCTCCCGCCAGAACAGCGCGAGAAAGTTTTGCAATTGTTAGAATCGTATCACGATTGTTTTGCGGAAGATATGACTCAAATGGTGCGCGAGTGCAAGTACCGCGTCTCTCTTCCAACCCTTCCGGACCCACCTGCATTCCATTGCCCAGCAATACGTATGTCACCACAAGAAAATGAGTATTTAAATGCATATGTCGCTAAAATGGAAGCCGCAGGTCTCGTGCGAAAAGGAACGAGTTGCTACGCAAACCCGGTGTTTTTAGTGATGAAACCTCACAAAGAAAAGGATAAGCCTGAGTATAGGATGGTTCTTAACCTCAAAAACCTTAATAAATTAGTGCTGCCACGCTCCAATTTCCCCCTGCCCCCGGCAGCCGATATTATAGCAAAACTGAGCTTTAAAAAGCTATTTATTACCCTGGACCACACCCTTGGATTCTACCAACTAGTCCTAGACGAGCGCAGTTCAAAACTATGCTCATTCCATACTTCAGAGGCCCAATACTTACTGTGTCGTCTCCCCATGGGCAGTTCTATGTCCGTCCATGCGTACTGTTCCACTATGGCCAAATGCTATGAAGGAATCCTCCACCGAACTATTTGGGGATACGTGGATGATTTTTGGACAGCTTCAAATACTTTTGAGGAGCTGTATGACATACTCAAACAGATCTTAGTCCGCTGTCGCGAGGTACACCTCTATCTCAACCCAAAGAAATGTATTTTCTTCACAAAAACTTGTAAAGTTTTGGGGTTAGAAATAAATGAAACACACGTCAGACCGGATCCTACAAGGTTTCGCGCCCTCGATGAGCTTGTTAAAGTACGTAATCGTAAAGAAGCCCGCCGCACATTCGGCTATTTATCATGGTCGCGTCGATTCGTCGAAAAATTCGCAGTTAAAACGCGTATTTTGGCGGACGCAGCAGCTCAAAATAAGCCGTTCACTTGGACGCCCGAACACTCGGCGGTCGTCAAGTCAGTCCTCGAGGAAATAAAGCAGGCAAGCTTACCGCACTTTGACTATAACAAGCCCTGTCGTGTACAATCCGACGCCAGTATCGAGGGCCTGAGCGCAATCCTCGAACAGCCTGACCAGCAGGGCAAATGGCGTCCCTTTGCGTTCTGGTCTCGCCGCACCACACCAGCCGAACGAAAATATGCCGCCGTGCATTTAGAAATTTTGGCCCTCTGCGAAGCTCTGATGGCACATCGCGCCGAGGTCCAAGGTGTCGAACTGACAGTGATAACCGACGCCAGTGGGTTATCTTCGGTTTTAAAGCAAAAGGCGCCTAATCCCCGAATGGCCCGATTCATTGCCTGCTTAAATAACTTTTCGATAGCAAAAATTATATATCGCGAAGGATCAAAAAATGTGGCGGATCCGCTCTCTCGCGCCCCTTGTCCCGTCACGCCCCCGTCGGGTCCCCTCGGACCTTACCCGGCGTTACCGGACGACGCATGGGCAGTCAGCGTGTCTCCCTACAATCTCAGATCTCGTTCGGATCCCGCGCGCGCTCCCTCCGTCTCTCCCTCTCCTCCCCTCACGAGGGGCTCCCTAACCTCGCCGCCCGACCACGGCAGCCTAGGCCCGGCTCGTACGCGCTCAGCAGCCCGCCGCGCAGCAGGGCTCACAAGCCCTGAGCCCCAACAGGCCCCGCCGCGCCCCGCTCCCCACCCCCAGGCACACCGC